TATCTACACCACAACTAGACCTTCAGAGGAAAACTAAACCCTTCTACAGGATCACTGCTTCAACAGAACCACACCTGTCACTCCATGAGGACTGCAGCTACCATTTAATAAGACTGCTACCACCACCCTGACCCACAGGGTGTCAGGTCGTATTCTAACTCTGTCAATAGTTTGGGGTTTTTTTTGTTTGTACTACTGCATTTGTATTTTTAGTTTTCCTAGTTTTATAGGTAATAATTGGTAAAGCCAATTTAATAATTAATAAAAATAGAATTTATTTAACGATCGATATACAGTCTCGATAGCCACAATCAAAGGGACAGCATCGACCCCGGGTTCGGCGCTGGGTGAACACTGGTCTGACCTCTATTGCATCAGAACCCCCTCTGTTCACGACAGTGTGTGTGTCCGGGTCGTTTTTATACACTTTAGTTTGCCTGAGGCAGAGTCTCTCTTCTTCTTTTCATAGTTAAACATATTCATTTTGTCTCCTTTCTCTGTGTTGGACTGGACAATGTAGTTCCCGGCAAGCGATGAATGCTGATGTTGAGTTATGGAACCCGGCATTGGGATGCAAGTTGTCTGATGGCTCCTGCTATCTTGATCTCGGTACGTGTCCCATATTGATCGCCCAGGTGGCTCTTGAGTAAAGACTCATCTCCTCCAGAGCCAGGCTCTTTCAATTGTAAATTAGGCCTTTCCTTGATGCCATCTGCAGTTTTGCAATGGCATGCGGCAGTCTCCCAGTATGAGGCAATCCCTCGGCTCTTGCATGTGGATTTGAAACACTTTTGAATATTTCTTTTAAACATTATAACATATATTCTCATCATATTTTACATAAGCACGAATTACCTAAATCACATATTACACTAGTAAAGAACTGTTATTCCTATTCCCATATCTTTGCCTGAGAACCTTTTAATTTCAAAATTATAATAATTTGGAAGGAGGGGGTTTACATTTTCCATTTCAAGGGAGGCTCCTGCCTTCCTGAAGCAGACACCTGTCTTCTCAAACCAATACAAATGTTTAAAAAAATATCAGCCATATTTCATAATACCGTAAGTGGTTTATAGCACATCCTAAAAAATGGCACTCACCTTTACTTTTCTGATGTCCATGTGAGATGTTTACATCATCTCAGCCAGTTCAACAGTTAACCGAGTCACACTTGAGTTTGACATAAAGTACAAATAGCATCTTCAGCAACTTAAATGCTTTATTCAGAATGATTCAGGAACCTCTCTCCACACTCTACAGGTCTAGTCACCATGCAATTGTAATGCAAAAAGCACTGCAAACATTAGGAAAAAACTCCATGAGTAGCATGGATTTATTGGAAATAAATCATGCTAAAAACTGATTCTTAACAGGTACAAAAAATCCAACAGCTAAGGAAAGGAGAAGGAAAATTGGATGCATTATGATCAGTGAGTGAAGACTGCTGTCAAAGATCACACAAAAAAAGGCAATGAAGAATATTAATGTACCATTACAGGTGGGAGTACAGGGCAGACAAAAGTTACAAAACACCCCGCTTCAATATTGTTGGGGGTTGGGTTTCTTTCTTTTTTCATTTACTTATAGAAATTTTTTTCCCATAAGTTGTGGATGTGACAGCCTAGTCAGAGAGCGAGAAAACTAGATAAGTTTTCTCAGGGTCGGCTTGTGAGACTTTAGGGAGTTGCAGAGAAACAATGATAGCTTGTTATTATAAACAACCTGCAAGTGTTGTTTCCTTACTCTCTGTTTTCCTGGTTTTCTCTAAGATTGTTTGTAAGAAATATGTTTTTGTTAATTAGCCAATCAGGTGAAATGTATTGATTAATTGACCGATCTGGTCTGTCTGTATCGGAACAGTCTATAAAGAGATTTTTGAAGTAAAGGACACTGTTGCGATGAACTCTCTGTGTGTGGAGACACAAGGCTTGACTCCATTTCAGAACGCTGATTTATTATGTTATATATTATATTAAAATACTACATTAAAACTATACTAAAAGAACAGAGAGAAAAGAAAGATCAGAAGGCTACAAAGAACAAGAATAGAATAGAATGCATAACAAAATCCTGTGACTGCTCACAGCCTCGGCACAGGTGGCTGTGATTGGTCATCAATTGAAAACAATCCACATGGACCAATGGAAGATGCACCTGTTGCATTCCACAGCAGCAGATAGTTATTGTTTACACTTCTTTCCTGAGGCCCTCAGCTCCTCAGGAGGGGAAAAATCCTAGGAAAGGATTTTTAATAAAATATCATAGCTACAGGACACTGCACAAACCAGCCTTCTGGTGAGTCTGTGTCGTTTCTTCCTCAACAGTGACATAAGTTGCTAAGAAACTAACTACTGGATACTTACTGATACTTATGGGTACTTAAGAAAGACAAAAGGCTGTGGCTGAAGTCAGGAGAATAGAGCATCTGGCTATACTTCTTTTTTCTCAGGGAGTTTCTCTCTGAGGGACAGAGATCCCACGAGAATGGGGGGGCAGGTAAAAAGACGGGATTGGGAGCAGCTGGTCTCTCTCGCTCTTTGGCATCGGAGGAGGACAGGCAGGCTGCCGCTTACTGCGGGGAGAATTCACTGGCACTGCTGGAGCTCAGCCCTGAGGGACTTATCACCACCTGCTCATGTGCCCTGGGAAATCCTGAACTTTGCCTCTCCCTGCTCTGCTCCGAGCCAGCCACTGCTGCGCCACCCCCGCTGTTTCTTCGGTACTGCTCTGGGATTCTCCACACTGTAGCCAGCACCGTCCTGCAGTTCAAGCTACCACTGAGGAACTTCTGATACATCTCGTCCACCACCCCGGGATTTTTGATCATTCCTGCTGGTTGTGATAGTAACTGCACCAAAGGGGAAAGTGCCAGCGGCTGAGAAGGTGAGGCTCCTGACTTCCCTAGCAGACACTTGTCTTTCAAACCAATGTGATAACTGATACACACTTTCAAAAATTTAGAAGGTTTATTAAAACCTTATCAAAATGTTATAGATGGATAATGAGATGATTGGCTCTCACAATTAAGGGATGAATATTGTGTGACTATTAAGAGAAGCTTTATTGATACATAGTTATTGTTATGAATAAAAAGTTATCTATTTTTGTTTAAGGTTGCAGAGTTAAAACCGGTTGGACCAGTTGCTGTTAGGAACCGGCCATGTGGTGGGCATCCACAAGGGCAGTTCCCAGTGCTGCAATTTTTCCTTATTTAGTCCTTTTGTTGAATTTTTGTTAAGGTTTAATAAACCTTTTAAAATTTTAAAAGTGAGCAGTTGTCTCTCACAAAAATACAACAGAAGGCTGAATAAAGAAAATAATACAGCGCTGGAGCAAAGATTATATCACCACGTGCTCATCCACAAAATGGATGTTCCGATCTTTATACCTCTAGCTCCTCACAAAATCTTGTCAATTGACTCCTTTGCTGTCCAGTGGTGATCACTTTCTTGCATCTTGATTGGAGGTCAGGTGCTACCATAGTAACAAGCCGACCCTCCCAAATGCCCCGACTACCCAGGCCATCCCATGATAACAATGCAAGGGGGAAGGGAAACATAACTATACATCTACAAAACTTCTCTTAATATTTGCTCTTGAATTGTGACAGTCAACCATTGCATTACTCATCTATAACACCAAGACAAATATTTTTCCATCTATGTACTTTATTCAAATACTGTAATAGTAATGGAAGGCAAAAAGCAACAGAGATATGACTAAAGGTGTAAGAACATGAAATTAGGAAAAAGTGAAAGCTGGTTATCAGGGAATAATTTTAAATACAGTTACTCAACAGAACCATAACACTTGGAAAAGCTGCTCTGCCAGCATACATAGACAATGCCATCATTCCAGCTCTCTGAAAATGACTATTTTCCTGATCTGTAACCCCTTCTATATAGAGTACTGCTGAGGTTACCCCCAGAAACACCGTGGAAATAGTGTGCAGTTACAGTTTCTATCTTCCAAAAAGTCAAGCCTCCCCCACAGCAAGTCAGAGTGCAGTATTCCCACACAGAATACAGCAGTTACTGAAGTGACAGAAACCACAAGTGTGAAATCCTATTAAGTAATCCTGCACTGGAGAAAGCAATTCCTTTTTTTTATTCTTACACCTGCCATAGAAAGTACACACTTCGCTTGATCATCTGGCAATTTCAAAGAGTACTTAATAATCTAAATTTGAGATTAAAGGCTTTTTTTTCTTATCACCTCTTAAATTTCTCCAACCAGAAATTCAACTACATTCAATTGTGCATAGTTTGGAACTTTTGGTAGTGGGGATGTGTCCTAATTCCGACATGACGGCACAGAGACTGTGTAATGCAGGGTTTGCATAGATAGTCTGTCTCTGCCCCAGCCCAAAGAACATTAAGTCATATCAGCTTAGGATTTTGTTGCATTTGTGAAAAACATGAAATTAGGGAAAAAAACCCAAACCAAACAATCCCATTTATATTGGCTTCCCCAATGTCCTCACTTAAGGGGGAGATGGGGAACAAGAGACATATAACACAAGTCATGGCTATTTCAAAGCTTCATGGTCTTAAATGAAGTTTATTGCAGGCCTCAGTGAAAATATTACAAATTCACCAATGCATACACTTCTGCACCTTTGTCCAGGTTGTTGTTATTCTAGAGTAGTTAAGCGCCCTTTTTTATTAAAAAGTTTTTTGTTTGTTTTTACAGTATTGCTGTGTTTTACAACAAAATTAAAAACCATTTGTAGTATCCACCCAGCAACAAAGTTTCCCCAGAACAAACCAAAAGCATAAATGCATGTTATGAAGGGGCCTTTTCTATGTCAGCTGTTTAATGAGTAAGAAAAAAAAAAGAAATCTATCACTTCTGTTTGGTGTTGATGAATTTACTCCATTTTCCAGAAGGCAAATCCTTTCAATAAATATCAGAATAACTTCTGAGATTATGAATTTCCAGAGATATAAGCAGCAGCTCTGTGCAATTTCTCTGGGAGTCCTGTGCTGCCCCTTGTTTCAGTCCAGTGAGATGATGTCAGGAGCACTGCCTTTGCTTCTGGTTATCACTTCTGTCTTGCTCCTGCTGGAGGAGCTAACATGTGTGCTGCTCTCATGGTGGCTGGTTGATGTGGTGATGCTGCCAGGCACACTGCTTGTTAAGGTTGAGGTGAGACTATCCAAAAACATAGGAGGACAGTACTGCTTGAAACAACGAAGAATAAAGAGATTAACTGCACAAGGGAAATGTATACTCTGAAGAGTGACAAGCACAAAACATTTTACTATCAGAACCTTGTTAACACATGCATAGCAAAAATCAGAGTTCTGCAAACCAGCAAGTAACGAAGCAAAGATGAGCCATGAGTCCTTTCCCTCATCCTCCCCTTTTTGTTTTTCTTATTAAATAGTTAGCTTGAACATTTATTAGTGCATGAAGAAACACTATCATGTCCACAAAAAAACCCCACCCACAAAACCCCTTAACATTTGGAGAATGTTCACTGCCCATAGGTACCGGGCCCAACTGCCTATTTCAGGCTCCTTTCATCATGAAAGGCAGCAAAATGCTTTCTGCTCCTTAAATGGAGGTTAGAATAATTTCATTCCCTCACACAGCAGCAGCTGTACTAAACATTTTCATAATATACACCTGCAACAATATATGCAGTTATCTAAACATTTTATTAGTGATAAATGAGCCCTGATCAAGTCTGATAAAGAAAAATTTTTAAGTTGATTTAAATTTCCTGAAGCAAAAGACAAGCCATTTCAGAGCTGAACATTCTAAGCATTTAGAAACAGAACAGGGTTGCCAGATGTCAAAGAAGATAAGACACCCCACACACATGTTGTTTGACACACTTTATTTTCTCTTACCCTGTGGATTCAAATCTCGGGCATATGTTTGAAACTGAGCCTGAGCTGTTTGAACTGTCCAAAATGGACAGTTCATAGCAGCATACTTGCTTGCAGTCTTCCACATGAACAAACTTCTGTTATTCCCACTTTTGGCAGTTCAGATCTCAAGGTCAGGCAGAGAGTATTGCAAGATGCAGTAAGTGGAAAGAAAAGGAGGAAGTTCATCCTTCATTTTTAAGACACCAGAAAGTCAACTCTACTCTAAGAGACCTACTACTGTTTTTTTCTAGTGACAGAGGTGAAAAAGAATGTCTGCTTCAGAGCCTCTTGTCTTAGTTAGAGAGCTGATATTCCCCCACATTTCAAGGCTGTAGTCTGTCTGCATAGGAATCTAGTTACAGTAAAAATTGTTCTCCCTAATGGTGTAAATTTTAAATTTCCAGGGAAGGAAAAATACCACCTGGTTCCTTATGACCTACAAAAATTCCATATAATCCAAAGCCAATGGAGTCGAAGTGTTGCATGGAAGAATTTATTATAAAAGTATTCAGTCATGTGCCCTTCAAATTAATGAAGATATTTTCTTTAGAACCTAATCTCCTACTAATATAAAAAAGAACAGAAATAACAATCAGTGTGGTCTATTTACAGAGCTTAATCTGGCTTACAGATAGACAGCATAAACTAAGAGCATGAAGTACATGATCATAGAATCCCACAATGGTTTTGGTTGGGAGGGACCTTCAAGACCACCTAGTTCCAAACCCATGCTATGGGCAGGGACACTTTCCACTAGACCAAGTTGCTCAAAGCCCCATCCAACCTGGCCTTGAACACTTCCAGGGATGGGGCATCCACAGCTTCTTTAGGCAACCTATCCCAGTGCCTCACTACCCTCAGTGTATTTAAGTTAGTGCTGTGCAAGTATCTGCTTTGCCTAGAAAGGCAAACTACCAATAAAGACCGAGTTTCCATGCTTGGATTTATCATAGTAAGGCTAAACTCAGTCCTCCCTTAATGCATTTTCATTATCACCTCTTGTTGGGAAAATGGCTTTTCCTGGTCTGTGGTTAGGTCTAAGCAAGTGGACTGCATAAATGTGATAGTTATTTGAGCAGTATGTCACAAAAAACAGACTTGAAAATTAACCTCACAGCAGTTCAGAAACATACCTGTGAATCAGCTGGGATTAGTGAAAGAAAATTCAGTCCTAGAAAGAAGGATAATAAATTGATGAGTCTTTCTTTTATGCATACACAACAAATTTAAGGAACTTTTTTTGTGGTCATAGAACAGATTTTGCAATTGTTGTACAGTTTCTAAATGGAATATACTACTGTGACACCACTCTCAATGACTACCTCAGACAGCAGCAAAACAAGTTATTTAGTACATGTGTCTCTTTTTAAGAATGAGGATGACACGATGTATTATTCACTGGATATTGCTGGGTGGTTCAATGTGGTTGCTTAGATGGAGGTTGCCATTTGGAGCTGTTGGTTCATAATGCAAGTTTCACTGCATATTGTACCTGACTTGGCCAAACTGGGACATGAAGAGTGTCATCACAATAAAGATGCTGGAATGAAGTCAAGTCACAACATGCACAAGTCCAAAACCAAGCAGCAGATCTCTTCCTCCACCCATGGGCATTCAATAAGAAAACATTTTTAATATCATCCCCATTTTGTGTCTAGACAAATAGAAGGAACAAAGAAGAGGAAACTACAAGTAGTTCAAGGTATATCCTCTAAGATCAGTGACAACTAGCATCCATCTTTTATACCAGTAGCGTGTAAGCATTTAGGGCAAGATGTTTAAACTTATGAAACCAATGAGAAATTATGGTCTTTTTTTTGTTTTGTTGTTAAATATTGGCCTTGTGTTTGCTATGTCAACAGAAAAAAATGATAAACTTCTTCCCTCCCTCTCCTCTCACCTCCAAATCTGTCCTGTCCATTGACATCTCCCCTTTTTCCATTAGAGAAAAAATTTGAAGGAAATTTAAGCTTAGCTGCTTTTACAGAATTGACAGCTTCTTTTGGTCTTGCACATTCTAGAACTTCAGTCAATAGAGATAGACAACAGTTCTAGATTTCTGCTCTCTGAGCTTTCTCTCCTATCCAATTTGGGAAGACAACCAATTTCTTAACAAGGGAGAAGTAGAAGGAGGGAGCAGTAAGGGAAACAAAATGGACAGAGAAACAAGGGGAATTATATCAATTTCACTGCCAAACTGGTGCTGAAAGAAGAGGGGGGAAAAAAGGGCAATGTTTCAGGGCATAAATGAATACAGGCAATGAAAGGGGGAGAGGGGAAGTACAGGAGGGCAATGTGACACCTGTCAGCACAAGTTACCATTTCCTGGGCTCTGGGTTTGTTACAGCCAGCAAAGAGAACCCTCAGAGTCTCTATATACAGTGTTTTTTTTCAAGGAGCCAGGATAGAAAACAAAAACTGGGACATGAAGAGTGTCATCACATTAAAGATGCTGGAATGAAGTAAAGTCACAACATGCACAAGTCCAAAAACAAGCAGCAGGTCTCTTCCTCCACCCACGGGCAGCCAATAAGGAAACATTTCTAATATCATCCCCGTTTTGTGTCTAGACAAATAAAAGGAATGAAGAAGAGGAAACTACAAGTAGTTCAATGTATATCCTCCAAGAGCAGTGACAACTAGTGTCCATCTTAAACACCATTTGCGTGTAAGCATTTAGGGCAAGATGTTTAGAATTATGAAACCAATGAGAAATTACCACATTTTTTGTTTTTTGGGTTTTTTTTTCTAAATATTGGCCTTGTGTTTGCTATGTCAACAGAAAGAAATGATATACTCCCTCCCTCTCCCCTCACCTCCAAATCTCTTCTGGCCTGTGACATCTCTCCTCCTCTTCTCCATTAGAGAAAAATTTTGAAGGAGATTTTAAAGGTCAGCTGTATTTACAGAACTGACAGCTTCTTTTGTCTGTGCAAGTTCTAGAACTTCAGTTGATAAGAGCTGAACAACAGTTCTAGACTTCTCTCAGCTTATTCTCCTATCCAGTTTGGGAAGACAACTGATTTCTTAACAAGGGAGAAGTGGAGGGAGGGAGCAGTAAGGGAGCCAAAATGGACAGAGAAACAAGGGGAATGATATCCATCTCATTGCCAAACTGGTGCTGAAAGAAGAGGAAAAAACCCAGAGATGTTGCAGGGGAGGAATGGAGACAGGCAATGGAGCAGGGAAAGGGAAGTACAGGAGGCCAAAGTGACACCTGTCACCACAAGTCACCACTTCCTGGGCTCTGGGTTTGTTACAGCCGGCCAAGAGAACCCCAGAGTCCCTATACACAGTGTTCTTTTCAAGGAGCCAGGATAGAAAACAATCAGTATCCCCACCTTTTGTCTGATATTTAGCAGCAGTGTTGAAGAATACATCATAGGCATTTAGGGTATGTCTAGGTAAAGAAAGTCAATAGAGGTCAGCTCACAGATTGTAGCTCACCTTAACCTTTTTCATACAGTCTAGACAGAGCACCACTACAATCAGCTAGCAGAGTAACTACACTGAGGGCTGGGATGAGTCAGCACCCTCACATCTCTAGTAACTAAAACAAGCAACTACTCTCCCTCACATCTACAACACGTAACTACCGGATGTTTACACAAAGTCTGGCTGAGCACAGCAAGAGCAGCTTCTGGCTGCCGTGCTCAAGTGCCAGTTTGTACCCCAAAAGCAGTGCTTGTCACATCACTGCTGCAAAATGCAATCTGAAAATGGGCAGACAGCCTGTACTAGGCTTGTCTAGATAGCACATCAGTGCCATACTGCATATAGACTTGTTCCATTAAAAAAGACAAAAACAAAGCGTTAATAAATTCTTCCAATTTCTACCCACCCCATAAATTAATACTGTTGTCAGAACATACGTGAAAACCGCCCAGCACCTACCTGGCAAGTCTGATGAAATACTGGATATTGGTGGGTGATGGAATGGTACTGGGTAGTCTGTTAATGAAGGTGGAATAGCAGCAGCATCAACCGTTGTCATGCTGGGCACTCTGACAGTAGGTGGCTGATACACAAGGACCCTGTTTCAAACAGCATGGGAAATTACAAACAACCTGTCTGTTAGTTACAGAAAAAAAATTATGCACCACTGTGCCCTTTCATCCACAGGGTCACTATGTTATAATACAACTATAGCATGGCTACTCACTGTACAGTATTCCAACTCTAATTTCCTCTTTCATAACAGTCATAATAACATGACCCTATCTTGGCTCTCAGCAGCAGCTGTGACATAACAGCAAGTTAGCATTAAAACAAAGTACAGTGCTGGAGTAATTTATAACATTTACCATTCAGAGAAAGTAATGTAGTAAGTAATCTATCTGTGGAGTACCCTGGAAGGGATGTGCAGGTAGCCAGAGCCAGAAGGAGAGTGCTTGTTTCAATTTCTCTACATAACTGTTCCTCAGTGACAACCTGTCACGCCAAGGGTGCAAGTGGCCATTATTCAGCCCCTGAAGCACAGATTACACATGGGAGTTAAATATCAAAACCCATCTTTACTCACAGCCTGAGCCCAAGCTAAGTTCAGCTCTCCAAGAGCATGCAACTAGTTAAAACCCTTTTGCATCCTTACCTGCTGCCCAATTACTTCACAGCACTGTTAAAGATGACACCACAGGCATTCAGGCACCAGCCATATGCATAAAATATTTCATAAACTCCAAGTCAGATGGAAACCCCCAGAATCCCATTCCCAGCTGCTCTGCATTGCTCCCTTCAGCCCATCAGCCATGAGTGTTATACACTCATGTCTTCCTCCCCAGACTGCTGCCTTGCTACTTCTGAATTCAAAACCTTGGATTTCAGACCCTTCCTTCTCAAGCATCTCTTATACTTCAGCCTACATTGTTTCTGCCTATAAGAAGACACCCCACAGTTTTGTCAAAACTAGCATTCAGGCAACACTGTTTACAGGAGATAAGCTATTCCCCAAAAGCCTGGCTATGACTTGGATTTAAAGAAAGAAAACATGCCATATCCATACCCAAACAGCAAGGAAAGTACATCACTCACAGAGACAAGAAAACTCAGCCCTTCTACAATTACGGTTGCACATAGCCATCTCAAACAAGCACAGGAGCATGGAAGCAAGTCTTGGTGCCTTCTGAAACTTCATTAAGAGATGTATTTGCAGCTATTTTTTCTTATAAAAATTAAAAACCATGTATTTTGCAGAGGGACTCCTCCACAATCCTCACAAAAAGCAACAGAATTTCAGTATTGCTGCTGAAAGTGGTTGAAAATGACCAACTATTTGTTCACCAAAAATCACACATTCCTGTGAACTAGAGACACAGTACACCTACTCATTACTTCAAGAGTTGGCAAAAAATAAGGGGTTTGTTTGTATTACTATTATTTTAGTACAAGACATTAGCCACTACAGTGAGAGACAGAAACACACCTCATGCAACACTAACAACTCATTACTAAAACCTGATGCTTGGAATCACCTTGTGGAGCAGTGAGCACTGGTGAGCCTAACCAGTGCCCCTCACTCCCTGCAGGTCTCCTGTGCCCTATGGGCCATGAGCAAGAATGTTATGGAAGTCACAAACAGTACCTGCAGCCAAAGTGTGCAGACTGGGACAGACAGGTGACACAACAGTAAAGAACTTGGTTAAGCCTGCCACTGAAGTCAGGCATGACAACAAAGATGGAGCAGTTGACAGAGTACTTGGGAAGTTATTGGTTGTGCTAACCAAGTTGCAGGACTGACAGATAACCATGGCCAACAACAGTGTCCAAGACATTCCAGAGTGTAATAGAGGAGGAAAAGCTTGTCTTGATTCAAAACAGCAAAGTGCCTCCCTTCCAAGACTGACAGGGTGGATGAAAAACACAACACAGCCTCATTTCCTGGGCACCAGAGCAGATTAGATAAAGGGTATAACAGTGAGAAAAAAAAGACTTAAGATGACACTAACTTAACAAGAATGCATAAAGCTCCTCCACTTGGCATAATCTACTTTCTCAGGAGAATATTGTCCATTCTCTTAATTAACTTCCTTTTCTATGGAGAAATGGCCCTGCAAACACAGCAACAGTGAGCACAAGTTTTTTGTGATATGCAAAACTATTTAATAGTGTTTTGCCTGTACAAAGGTACTGTATCAATACAACCTTCTGCAAGGAGAGGCCTAGAAATTCTCCTCTGGAAGTGTGGAGCTGGATCCTGAAGAGAGATTAAAAATCCATTTCTGTACAGATCAGTTTATCTGAGACATTACAGAATTATAACTAACTTTAAAATTGACAAACCCTTTGGTTGGGCTCCCGTGTATTTCAGACATAAATATGCACTTCCTTTTGGCAGGAGGATCTTCCTCTTCATCAGAAGAACTTTCTACTGTCAAGTCAATAACATCGACTTTCTTCTTGTTTACTTCATTGGCCACTGTCACAGAACAGGGTTTCCTAAAAACACTGGAACCTGAAGAAGATAATAGAACATCACTGTTTTCTAAATGCTGTTGACATCAGCAGTTTCTATCTGCAACAGAACCAGATTATCTTCCTGGCCACTACAGAGAATGCTATTGCCAGGAACTGTTTTATAAGTATTCTGTGTGTCGAGGGTTGACGCTGGAATTACAACTGCACCACGAACTTTGCTTTGATTTCTTCTTAAATATATTATCACAGAGGTGTTACCACCATTTCTAATTGGCCCAGCCTTGGCCAGCAGCATGTCCATCTTTGGAGCCATCAGGGATTGGCTCTGCTGGACATGGTAATAGAGGAGGAAAAGCTTGTCTTGATTCAAAACAGCAAAGTGCCTCCCTTCCAAGACTGACAGGGTGGATGAAAAACACAACACAGCCTCATTTCCTGGGCACCAGAGCAGATTAGATAAAGGGTATAACAGTGAGAAAAAAAAGACTTAAGATGACACTAACTTAACAAGAATGCATAAAGCTCCTCCACTTGGCATAATCTACTTTCTCAGGAGAATATTGTCCATTCTCTTAATTAACTTCCTTTTCTATGGAGAAATGGCCCTGCAAACACAGCAACAGTGAGCACAAGTTTTTTGTGATATGCAAAACTATTTAATAGTGTTTTGCCTGTACAAAGGTACTGTATCAATACAACCTTCTGCAAGGAGAGGCCTAGAAATTCTCCTCTGGAAGTGTGGAGCTGGATCCTGAAGAGAGATTAAAAATCCATTTCTGTACAGATCAGTTTATCTGAGACATTACAGAATTATAACTAACTTTAAAATTGACAAACCCTTTGGTTGGGCTTCCTTGTGTTTCAGACATAAATATGCACTTCCTTTTGGCAGGAGGATCTTCCTCTTCATCAGAAGAACTTTCTACTGTCAAGTCAATAACATCGACTTTCTTCTTGTTTACTTCATTGGCCACTGTCACAGAACAGGGTTTCCTAAAAACACTGGAACCTGAAGAAGATAATAGAACATCACTGTTTTCTAAATGCTGTTGACATCAGCAGTTTCTATCTGCAACAGAACCAGATTATCTTCCTGGCCACTACAGAGAATGCTATTGCCAGGAACTGTTTTATAAGTATTCTGTGTGTCGAGGGTTGACGCTGGAATTACAACTGCACCACGAACTTTGCTTTGATTTCTTCTTAAATATATTATCACAGAGGTGTTACCACCATTTCTAATTGGCCCAGCCTTGGCCAGCAGCATGTCCATCTTTGGAGCCATCAGGGATTGGCTCTGCTGGACATGGTGGAAGCTTCTAGCAGCTTCTCACAAAATCCACCTCTGTGGCCCCCCACTACAAAAAAAACAGGCCATGCAAAACCAATACAATCCACCCCTCATCTCTGTGAATCACATATTTAAGAATAAATCAAAACACAGTTTGTGGTGCAGTTGTAATTGCAGCCAGAGAAGGGCAGGAGCGAAAACGTGAGGGAAAACAACTGTGCAGACACTAAGGTCAGTAAAGGAGGGGGAGGAGGTGCTCGAGGCGCTGGAACTGAAATTCCTGTGCAGGCTGTGGTGCTGATCATGGTGAAGCAGGCTTCCCCCCTGTAGCCCATGGAGGTTCACAGGGGATGAAGAGATCCACCTGCAGCCCATGGAGAAGCCCCATGCCAGAGTGGGTGGATGCCTGGGAGGAAGCTGTGATGCTGTGTGAGACCTGTGGAGAGAGGGGCCCCACTTCCAGGCTGGAGCAGCCTGTCCTTGAAGGACTGAACTCCATGGAACAGTGACCCACACCACAGCAGTTTGGGGAGGACTGTTGCCCATGGGATGGACTCATGTTGCAGCAGTTCGCAGAGAGCTGTCTCCCATGAGAGGGACCCCACAGTGGAGAAGGGGAACAACTCCTCTCCCTGAACAGCAGGAGAAGCCTGGGGTGATGAACTGACCATAACGCCTATTCCCTGCCTCCTTGTGCTACTGAGGTAGGAGGTAGAGCTGAGGAGGGAGGGGCGGGGGAAGGTGTTTTTAAGGGCTTGTTTTACTTCTCATTATCCTGCTCTGATTTTGTTAGCAATAAATTCACCTTATATCTCTAAGTTTATCCTGTTTTTCCCCGATGGTATTTACTGAGCAATCTCTCCCAGTCCTTAACTCATGAACCATTTGGTAAATTTTCTCTCCTCTGTCCAGCTGCAGCAGGGGAGTGAGTGAACGTCTTTCGTGGGTTCCTGGCATTCAGCCAATGTCAACCCATGACACTGTGTCATGTTGAGAATATTAAAACACAAGTTTTAGTCTTCACTTATCAATTTAAGGACCTAAAACAAGAACAACCTTTCGCTTTCTTAACTGCTATTATAAAGAGCAAAGACAAAGCCCAAACAAACGCATACTTTTAGAGACACAACCCTTGCTTTTTAGTTTATATGACAAGAAAGTTAGAAGTATTAAGCCCTCCAGTAAACAAACACCAACATTCAAACATTATCCAAGTTGCATCTAAATATCCAAGTTGGTTTGCAATCAGTACCCATATGTACATACTTTCTATTTTGGTGCACTGTGGACTTGAGACTTTCATAGCTTCTTTCTTTGGCCTCATGGGGCACCAGGACCCATCTTCTTGGAATTTGATCTCATCCACATCTGAACATTCATTAAGGATTTCCATAAAGAGCCTGAAAAAGAGGGCTGAGTGGTTTCATTTTTGATTTAAAGTGAAATTTTTATTCTAACTGAAGACAGTGGAAAAGCCAATTATGATCACCTTCCATTCATTGAATGTGCTCTCTCCCTAGTTCCTCTTACCTGAAAGCCTGTAATTATAGACTTTGCAGACATTGACAACTAAAAGAATATCCCAACCTACCCATATTCCACTCCAACATTACTGCAATGCATAGATTTCAATACAGAAGCAGAAATAATCATACTTTGAACCAAGTTTAACACTTTGTTATGAGTTAAAAGTTGAATTTTAAATTTAATAGCCTCGAAGATAAGGTCACATAAAAAGGAGACTTTAAATATCAGACTTGGATTTGTTCAGAGGAAATATACTGAGGCTCACGAGTTTGATGATGCAGTTGGGAGACAAACTTGTGCAGTTCGTTACATGGTAAGAGAAACTAACAGTCAGTTCCTCTCACTCTTAAGTATTTTGACAAAGAAAATAATATGAAATGGCTAAACCTCAAGTCAGAAAAGTTGCTATTAAGTACATAATGAAAAATATTAAGTGATTGTGTAATCTGCAAACCCAGTCTCTTACCCATCTAATATTAGGCTCTCATAAGTTGCCTTTTTGTCACAGACAGGGCAGATCCAGGTAGGCTTCTTTTCATTCATTTGAAGATAAAGAGCAGCATCAAAACATTGCAGGTGTGCGCAAGTAACGGCCCGGCATGGGATTGTCAGTCTCATTTTTCCCAGCTGCAGAAGATGCATTTAGAGGGAGTCAGAACAGAAGACAGTGAAGTAGGCCTGGATAGCTAACAACTGTCTCCTCTCACCACAGAGGGTGTCCAGGGCTAAGGGCGCTGCAAGCAAATCCACCCTATCAATGCACTTACAGTACACTTCAAGGAACAATAAAGCCATCCTCAAAATCTCCACTGAGTTGTCAGAAATATTTCTAATGGACCTGCATCAACATTATTTCCAGGATTTTTTAAATGAAATACCTGCTTTTATAATTTTCTTTTAACCAAATATTTAAAGAGTTTTTCTGAGGTCCAGTTACATGTTAGACTCTTTAATGTTTAACTGAACAGACCAGTCACAAACACAAGGCCAGTTTCTATCTGGGGAGAGAAACCCCAAGGCAGTGTTGCCTTGTTACACAATGATCAATTTTTCTTCTTATAGTAGCTGACAGTATAAGCAATACCACCAAGATGAGCAGATCTGAAGTTTTATTTACCACTGTATCCTTTAATTATTCTGTTACCCTGCCCAATTAGTCTCAACACCTCAGTATGAGATTACTCCTTTTAAAGACCTCACTATACACACACGAGTAGCAATTTGATTCTGACTGCGCTACATCTGAGGCATTCACAGTTCCAAACTGTAGTTGGGTGCATGCTGCTACAATCAGGTGCTTGTAGATGCACCCTTCTCCCCACTATTTTATATTATTGAATCAGTATATAACAAAAGCCAGTGATGTTTCTAAAGTGGGTCTTTTTAAAAGCAGCCCAACTCTGCACTAAAGATAAAAATAGAAATCTGTATCTGTTAATTTCCAGATGTACTTACAGGACACATCAGAGATACCCGCAGACTGGTTGTGGCAATCTCACTATCAGGATCTGCAGTTAGTTTTTCTTTAACTATAAAAATAAGAAGTTATACACAGATGTCATTATTGAAAATGCTAATCTTGATTCACTGGTACATGTCCTTTATTTCCAGCTATCTAAGAAAATTAAGTATCTAGGAAACTAGTTCATAGCGATGTTATAGATGGATGAGATTATTGGCTCTGGGGGGGGGGGGGCATGGCAACACCTGACCTCCAATCAAGTTACAAGAAAGCAGTCTCCACCAATAAGAAGAGTTGACTGACAGACTTTGGGAAGGGCCAGGGTTGGCTGATGCATCCCCCAGGAGTATAAAAGACTGAGCAGCCATCTTGAAGATGAACTGGCCATGTGGTAGGCAGCCATGAGGGCAGTTCCCAGTGCTGCAATTTTTCCTTATTTAGTCCTTTTGTTGTATTTTTGTTAAGGTTTAATAAACCTTTTAAAATTCTTTAAGTGAGCAGTCGTTTCTCACAAAAATACCAAACAACAATAGCTTCACTATTTATAAGTAACTGGCAAACACTGTGCATCGCAAAGTTGTTTGATGTGCAGCAGATGCACTGACAGCCACAATGGTTAGTAGAGCAAACTCAACCTAACATACAAAGAGAGAAAATAATTATCAGTGAGCAAGGTACAATCAGCATCACATGCAAGTGAAGAAAATTTAGAACATCTACTTCCACCTCACAGCCCACCACAGTAAGTAGTGTTCATGGTATTCATTTCAGATGGTGTGCTCCTTACCAGCACAGGGACCCTCACTGAAAAAGTGTGTGATGCCTCAGCAACAGCAAAGGGAACCTTTGATACTCTGGGCATGGACTTTCTTCTCAAAATTATGCAAATTCTTGAAGTATTACAAATTCTAGGTTTAAAGAGCCACCAACCATCCTCAAAAAGTATAGACAAGCAAATTAATTAGACTTACTTAGTGCTCTGGAATGATCGGGGTTTCTGATACCTTTCATTTTTAACCTCTGTAAAAGCATAGCTGAAGTGAGCTGGCGAACGAGATACACAGACATGGAGTAATTCTACAAAAAGAGTGATTGAAGATTAAATGTTGATTTCATACAGTACTTCCACTATGACAACAGATTACTATTTACACTAGTTGTAGCATCCAGCAAAAAAACCACATGTGATTTTTGCTTAATAGTTATGAAAAGCAGACAGACGACTTCATTACTGTGAAAGAGTCCAATACTCTGCTAGAATTCTCCTGCCAATCAAATCCAATTGTCCTACTCCAGTTATGACTTAACTAAGAATGTTGGAGGTTAGGATTTTTTCTTTTTGTTTTCTTTCTCTTAGGAATTTTTCTCCCATTTTGTTGCTAAGAAACAATAATGACTGATACTTAAGAGAGACAAAAGAAGTAACCATGGAGAAGGGGGAGGAGTGCAGCTGGCTTTACTATCTTAGCTGAAATTATGTAGCAATGAGATGAGAAAAAGAACAGTAACAGCAACAATACTAATGACTGAGGGTACAAGAAAAGGAACAATTGACACAGAAACTCCCTGACAACAGACAATACCAGACAGCTCCCTCTCATCTCATTGCTGTTTTCAGTAAATTGTTCTTATCTCAACCCATGATCTTTAGCTTTTGTGCCTCCAATTCTCCAATCCAGCCCCCAGCAGGGGAGGGGGAGAGGAAAGCAGGGGAGCGAGTGGCAGGTTTGGAGGGTCTCCAGGGGAGCATTAAATTGGGGAGTACCATTGCTAAACCAGGACATTTACACAAATAGTCACATAGGAATAAGTAGTTCTTGACACAGCAACAGCTTGAGGGGCTGTTGCAAACATTATTTAAACCTAAGATGAATTCAGAAATTTCCCACTGTCCTTTTCTTTCTTTAAAAAATCCCTAGGTGGATTTCTAAACAACCACACAGCCATTTTAAAGGCCAATTTCTTTTCAGCTGTGATATATGATATGTAATTCGTGCTGTTATAGAATATAAAATAAAATATATGTAGTAATAGTTAAAAGGAATATGAAGGGATATTGTAAACTCACATGCGGGGTCTGGGGAATGTTACAGCCTGAGGGGGATTGCATGGCATTGCAACATTGTAGCTGGCAGCGGGAAGATCTAATTTACAATCTAAAGAACCTAGCCAGGGTGGAAATTGGTGACGCTGGAACGATCATCGCTGGGCTGATTGGCGAGATCAAGATAGCGAGGGCTATCGGGAGAAATTGCATCCCAATATTGTATTCCTGTAAATATGCTGTCAGCCATCACTGCCTGCCAGGAACTGCTTTACAAAACCAAACCCAGAGACAGAGAGCAACATGAATATGTTTGACCGACGTTCATCACTGACCATGAGCGACATCCTCTAGTCCAGCTCAGAGAAAGAGACACATGAATATGATTGACTATGAAAAGAACAAGAGGAACTCTGCCTCGGGCCAGAAAAACAGTATAAGAACAGACTGTACCAGACCGCATTTGCGAACAGAGGGGGTTCAGTGTGATAGAGGCCGGACCATGGCTCACCTGGCGTCAATCCCCGGGGTCGACATTGTCTCTTATTTTTGTGGCTTTCAATACTGTATATCGGTCGTGCAATAAATTCTATTTTTAATTATTAAATTGGCTTATTTCATTTTTAATTATAACACAGCTATGATTAGTGATGTGATAGATGAGTAATGTGATGGTTGACTCTCACAATTAAAAGGCAAATATCATGTATATATGTTAAGAGTAGTTTTATAGACTTATGTTTTACCCCCCTTGAGTTGTTATCAGGGTGTGGCCTGGGTTTGGGACATTTGGGAGGGTTGGCTTGTTACTATGGCAACATCTGACCTCCAATCAAGATTTAAGGAAGTAAACTCCACCACTGGACAGCGAAGAAAGAGTCGATGGACAGAACTTTGGGAGGGGCTAAAGGATTAAAAGGCAAAACCTCCATTGTGTGGATGAGCACATGGTGGGGAAAAAATCCTTTGCTCTCGGTGCCATAATATTTTCTCTATTCAGTCTTCTGTTGTATTTTTGATAAGGTTTTAATAAACCTTTAAAATTTTTTGAAAGTGAATATCATTTCTCACAGTGATCAGTTTAAAAAGTTTTCTCCAGTGGACAATTCCAACAGATACCGAGACACATGCCTTAGAATATATGCCTACATAATTTCATTTTTCACACCATCAGGCTACAAGGAAGTGAGTAGGTCTTCCTTTTGTTATTTTGTCATGTCTGAACTGTTTTGTACTATTTACACCACAAAAGGAGCTTGTTATTTTTGACACGCACTTCAGGCAACCCTTAACAGCTGGCTTTCTAATGTGAATTCTATAAGGAAGTCTTTATCATCTGTATGTGAATCATATTTATGTTACTGAAAAGTACAATCGTTCTGGAACAAATTTTATTTCCTGGCATTTTAAGTTCAGCCACCTAATACTAAACACTTGCTGGTGTATGCATTGCCAGCAACATCAGGCAGTAGGAGAGAAGAAATGCTAGATGAGGTTATTTAGACAACTTCCCACATCCTACACAACATACAGTTTACCTTTCCAATTTCCGAAGCCCAGGAAATGGAAATCTGGTTTGGCACTGCTGATGACAACCTAACTAGAGATGTTATATTTAAGGGGCGCCCAGGTCGCTTCTGTTCAATTCCATTTTTTGGTGGTGGAGCATATCCCTATAGGAAGAAAGGACAATTAACATGTTACCAAGTCTCCCTGCTGCACTCTGAAACCTGCTGACAGAGACTCGTAAGTTTTAAACAGATCTTAGGGAAGCAGGTAAACCTAGAGGATCTCTAGGCTGGAGACCAAATCCAACACAATCTGAAAAATATGAGTCTTTGACAGTCTAACACTGTAAGTCAACCACAATTATAAGGCACTTTTTGTTTTAAGGGGTTTTATAGAAATGCTGAAAAGGTGAAAGAACACAGCTTGGGTCCAGGTAAGTTCACTGAAAAAATAAAAAGTAATATTGATGCTTTGTTTGTTCCCACATACACACACATTGAGAGTGGAACATCACAAGGATACAGCCTTAGTGACAAACACAGCAACTCATGAAGAGTTATCTCAGTGTTTCACACCCAGAAAACAATGATTCTATGTAAAAAAGAAGTATTGTTCCAAGAGCTCCACATCTCCTTGGTGCCTGCTTTGCCTTGCATCAACTACACCTGGCCCAGTTAGCTACGAGTTGTCATCTGTCCTCTGCCAAGGTCCCTAAAGAAGGGCTGTACATGGAATATCAGCTTTATTTAAGAGATCATAGAATGGTTTGTGTTGGAAGCAACCTTAAAGATCATCTAGTTTCAACCCCCTCACCATGGGCAGGGAATAATAGGCTTTGCTGTTATCTGCAGAAACAAAATAAACTAGATATTGTTTGCTCAGTTTTGATGAAAAATTTCATAACCTGGACAACTTTTCTCTGTAGTTTTATTTCGTAAATGATGTTTACAAATTGAATCAGGAGTCATCCAGTTCCCTTTTGCTTCTAGGCAAGCACATAATCTCCAGTGTATCGTGAGCAGAAAGTACTTGTGCTGTCTGAAGGAGCACATGGCCTAACTGCAGCTTATTCATCTCACCCTGCATCTGTCATGATGAAAGCAAGCCAGTCTGCAACAGGAACTGAAAATCTCTGTTCTGAGTTCATACAGACAGCCTGTAGTCCACTCATTTCAAAAACTCATCCTGCACTGGAAAAATGCCAATAAAAGATTGCAGATCTATGTCTTACACAGAACTGACCACCAGATTTTATTTAGTTCAAGATGGTATTGTTCTATACAAGAAACTCTCCCAGAAAGGATATACATTCACGTGTATATATTTTTTTACCCAGAGAAACACACACATTCACACACAGCCTATTGCTTGGGAAAAGAGTTACTGTGAAAGACCCTAGGTCTGAAAATAAAACCCAGAAATAAAGAGCCTCTTCCACTGTCCAAGGGTGACTTTATGATGCTTGTATCCCCAATTATCTGTTCTGCTTATGCTGGATATTGAGTTCTGTGCTTTTAAGATTAGACCTGAGAGCAAAGGGAGGGGGAAGCGGTGGCACGCAGTTTCTCTGCAGAAGCTTCACTTGACTCCCCCGGAATTCCTTTTCTCACTGTGCTGCCGAACTCAGACAGCGAGAGAGTGATAAGGCTCTCAGTGCTCTCTCTGAGTTCTTGGCTTTTGCAGAAAGAGAGGGAGAAACAGGGAGTTTTTCTTTGTTTTTTTTCGCTGGTTTTCCTCATAAGCTACAGCAAGTAAATTTTTCCCCAAGACTGTGTCTTTTTTCCTGGAACTGTTGATATGGGAAACACATATGCTTATGAAAATACAGAATTTTAGAGGCATATAATATACTTAGGCAGATGGTGGGGAAAAGAGAAAATGTTTAGCAAGCAGATACAGCTTGTACCCAGCACACATAGGAATGTAACTTGCTAGAAAGGAGGTCAGGCAGACAGCCTCAGAGGCCAGGGTCTCGAGGATTTTTTTTGTTTGTTTGTTGAGTCATGGTGAGAGAGGCCAAGGTCTCAACAAAGTCCTGACGAAAAGGGTCAGAGAAATTGGAGTTTCGGCAGAGGAGGCCGGGACTTCTTAAATAAGATATATTTCCTTTAGGGTAAAGGAATCTTTGTGATTTTTTTGAGGTCGAAAAAATGGGAGGGTGCAATAGTAAGAAAAGTGGCCAGAGACTGAGGAATATATCTCCCCACAGTCCCCTAGGTGAACTATAAGAGAGATGGGACTCTATAGAAGCCAC